AAACACTGCGGCCTCCCAACGAGCCATGCTTTATTCCCAGCAGCGTCAGTTAGCATTAGGTCACAGCGATCAGCATCGGATTTTTCTTAAATCCTGGTCACCGTAACATAATTTATTGATTTGCACGTAAATTCGTCTACTAAAACGCCAACCAAAATGTTTTGCAACGTTGTGAACATGACTCGTTCGTCGAATATTTTGACATTCGGATAAATCGTCTGAACTTTGTAATATCCGTAGTCAGCCTACTTTTTTCAAGCAGTTCAAGATTGTCTTCGTCTGTATTGTTGTGGTATATTTGACGTTTCAAACGACTGTCAAGCTCGAATCAGAAGGATAAATGGTTGGAGGTTTCATTCATGGCTTGCCCTTTCAAGGGGAAAGACGTCCGTGTCGGTCCGTTTCACGCTTTGGTTGGCTAGCTAACTCCTTTAACTCCTTGTTAAAATCCACAAAATAAATGCTAAAATGAAACAAAACTCTGGAACTAAGCACCACTATTTGTCAGAACAAACGTCTAACTGGTTTTGCATACGAAGCCAACGGTATGATAGGAACAGTGACGTTAGAGGATAGTGTGACTTTCTTCCGTGTAGTTAGCACCAACAGTATCATTGTAGTAGCTGCAGGGAATTCATTCGGGTTGGAATTTTCTCTCCTTGTTTTGAATGTTAAAAGTAAGCTTCATAATGTAACAGCACGTTAATTGGCATCACTTGAATACAAAAACACACAGACTATCAGGTTAAATCAAAGGGGCAACAGTTCATCACACGATTTAATCAAGAAGCTTAATTGCCTCTTCTACAGTAATGTACCAGAGAGAGAGAATTGAATATTTTGAATGATTGCAAGACAAAACAAACAAAATGTTTTATGTTCAATAACAGGCTTTGTTATAGCTGCAGCTGTTGTGAAAGTGCTCTCTAAATATTGTATAAAATGCTCAACAATGCTGTACTTTATGAGCTGCGTCAGGTCGACTTGAAATGCAATGGCTGACGCTTGATTTAACTGATTTCAATATGTAATGAGTAGCACAAGTTCCTTAGTCTTAGGTTACACGGTCACTCTTACGCTGCGATGTTGACATTTTGACATATGACATATGTACAGTTAATAGTGATGTTTAATTACAAGACTGACATTCTGGATGTGGTCTCTGCTGAATACTGATGTTTGAAGAGGTGGACCTTTTTGTTTCAGTTATCTAAAATGTTTTAGTGTTTCTATTAAGTATGCATAATTGATTCATTACATTTGTAGATGACTTGGGTGGGGGGAGCGGAGATTAACGATAGCTAGATCTATGGAACGGTCACAAGCAAATACTTGGTAATATTGTTATAATGTCCTATTCAGTTCCCAGAATGATATTCCATGCAATGCATTTAAATGATGTAGTTAAAAGGACATTCATGTGTGTTTGTGTTCCCAGTAGTTGAGTGTGGCACATTTAACTTATTTGTTTGATTTATGCTACGCCGTTTTGGTCTTATTTATTTGCATAAACTTTGACTTTAGCTTGTGTGGAAATAGTGACATCCAGGTCAATTTCTTGCGCAACTTGCATTACACATCAGAGCCTTGCTTTCAAAAATTAACATTTGCTTTGTTTTGAATGACCGGCCAATACATTTTCAACAAATGTCATGATATGCACTACTCACAAAAAGTCAAGATATTTGGCTTTCAGGTGAAATTTCAGGACAAGCCTAAAATGCCTTCAAACCGTTACAGATTAACTTAATGTGACCATCTCTAAGCTTTTGAGGGCACATGTCCAACTGTTAAATATTTCAGTACTTTTTACAGAAGTTGCTGTCCCCTAACGAGGAGCTTAACGGCAAAATTCACAGCAATTGATTGATCCTTGAATCGACCAATAAATATCCTTGTTCAATTAGAGCTGGTGTTTAAACAATTGTCCTAACAATGGATCAACAGTACCTTGCCATTGTGATGCTTCAAATAGGACGTTCTCAGTGGTCACTGAGCTTAGTGTCACAGAGTGTCATCAGTAGGTTGCAACAGAGATACCAAGAGACTGGAAGAGTCACAGAAAGCTGTAGAAGTGGATGCCCTTTGGCCACATCCCATGCTGATGACCGCTACATTGTAAACAATGTCTTGAGAAACCAGATGATGAATGCCACTCAACTCAGGCACATTTAAGGGTGGTGAGAGGCACCCAAGTGTCGCATCCGACCTTTCGAATCCTTTTTCATTACCGTGGTCTGCATGCTCGACGACCTGCAAGAAGAGTCTCTGACCACACCACCAGGTATAGTTGTCATCATCTTGCATGGGCCAGAGAACAATTACGTTGGACGAGGGACCAGTGGGCCTCAGTGCTGTTCTCAGCTGAAAGTATCTTCACATTGAGTAGAAATGATGGCCGGCAATGATGTTGGGGATGTCAAGGAGAGCTTCTATACATTAGCTACTGCTGTCACCAAACGTGCTTTTGGTGGTAGCGGTGTTAGTGTGGGCATGTGCGTTCAGTCGGTACACAACTGCCCTACAGTTTGTGAATGATACAGTGAAAAGCCAATACGACCAGAATAACATTATTCATCCAGTGATTGTGCCCCAACATGAGCAACACGGGCCTAATTTCATCTTCATGGACGACAATGCTCCAGCTCATCGAGGTTGCATCATCAGGGAAGGGCTGTTGGAGCCTGGTGTACTTAAAATGGAATGGCCTGCACTTTCTCCAGACCTGAATCCTCTTGAAAAGTTGTGGGATCAGCTGAGTCGCCGCGTAGAGGCTCGAAACTCTGCACTCCAGAACCTCAATGACCTAAGGGCTGCCTTTCAAGAAGAGTGGTATGCAATGCCTCAGCAGACAATAAGTCGACTTGTGAACAGCATGAGACGTCATCGTCGAGCTGTCATTGATGCTCAAGGGCACATGACAAGTTACTGAGACAGTGAAACTTAGTGTTGTGGCGTACCTATCATTGTTGTTAACTTTGTTTCAAAAACTGTTTGAGATGAGGAAATCACCAGTGCGTCCTTCGACTCAAATGTCCTACTCTCATGATATAATCACTGCAGCGTGAACTTTTTACATTTTTCATGGATTTCACCTGAAAGCCACATCCCAAACTTTTTGTGAGTAGTGTATATTTAAAAATATGAGGTTATGGTATAGATTTATGTGTAATAAACAATGAGACCCGTTTTAACTTTGGTCACTTGCTGTAAATGGTTCGAATGCAAAAGGTAAAAACAATCGGCAAACATCATCCATTCCCAGAGGAAATGTTTATTGCTCAAAGATTTGAGAATCTCACATAAGTCTCATTTTACTTTCTCTTGCCTCAGATGAGGCACCTGTGACACTGAACACTCACGTTAGCAATGGCGGCATTTATCTTGGAGAACATCTCAGGGTGTACATTCTGGAGATGTCTCTAAAAATGTGTTTGTGATGTTCTCATGCTTGACTGTTCCACATTCGTTACACTTTTTTTTCCTTCATTGTCAAACGTGAAATGGCCCCAAAATCCTCATCGATCTCGCGCTTTATGAATGTTCTTATCTGTACTTTTTTTGGGGGGGGAATAATATAAAAACAGCAAAAATAACAAGAGATTGGCACTTTACCGTATTCTGCTGGTCCGTTCTCCGTCCGCAACCTGGTCCTCCTTCCGTCCCCATCCTTCTTTTTAAGCGATTTCATCCTTATGTTTTGTGACATCCCAGCGGATCATTGGTTGACTGGTTAGCACGTCAGTCTCACAGTGCAGAGGTACAGCGTTCGATACCGGCTCTGGACTTCCTGTGCAAAGTTTGCATGTTCTCCCTGTGCCTGCGTGGGTTTTCTCCGGGTACTCTGTTTCCTCCCACATCTCAAAAACATGCATGGCAGGCTGATTGAGCACTCGAAATTGTCCCTAGGTGTGAGTGTGAGCGCGGTTGGTTGTTCGTCTCTGTGTGCCTTGTGATTGGCTAGCAACCGGTTCAGGGTGTCCCCTGTCTTCTGCCCGAAGACAGCTGGGATAGGCTCCAGCACGCCCCACGACCCTTGTTGAGGATAAGCGAATTAGAAAATGGATGGATGGACATCTCAAACATTTAAATAAGACTTTCTTCTACAAAACAAAATAAACAACAGAAGTGAAACAATGAGTTCAGTGAGTGTGTGTACATGGAAGTGCACTTTATGTGCATTTTCGTGTGTATGCGTGTTCCCTCCACCCTGCAATTTTATGTATGTGCATGTGTGTGTCCCCTTCACCCTGCAACTTAGGCATATTTTTGTGTGTGATACAGAATGAAGCAACTGCCCTGATACAAGGGCAGGCATGTCTTACACCGCATTCTGGTTTCACTTCACTTGCCTTTGCGAAGGCACCTTCGCTGCAATGTGCAAATTTAACCCACTTCAGGGAGGTGGTTTAAAAATTTGCTCCGGAGCAAATGCTCGTTTGCGGGGCATCACCGATGTAAAATGGTACGTGTGAATGCTACAATTTGCTCCGGAGCAAATGCTCGTTTGCAGGAGGGGGGGTAGCCTCGCTACGCATGAGAAGAGTTGATTACGTACGGCGAGAATGCGTTGCTTTCGTGCTCTGTTGTACTTCCGTGTTTGTTTAATAACGACACAAGACATGATGGCTGGCAATAACAGTAGCAAGCAGCACCTTGCCTCTTGGGTTATACCATCGGGGGGGTGTCGGTCGGATAGCCCCAAACATCATCTTTCCTTTTGTAGGAGACTGGACTGTCTCGGAGTTGTTTGTGTAGTTTGTTCCTTTGCTGTGTGTTCGCAACCCCCCCATAGAATTTATTTTGTGATTTCCTCCCTTGATTTTTTGTTTGGCGCATTATATGTTTGCCTTTCTGAGTGTAATTGAAGTCATCGTTGATTTACGTTTTCGGGGGCGGTCACTGAACGCCTCTCGAGCAGAAGGCACGGAGACCGAGAAGGAGTTGGACGTGCCTGTACAGTAGTTGCTTGAGTTGTACGTTTTAAAAAGAACCAACACGACAGCTCTTTTTGTTTTGCTCCGCTGCAGTAACTGCCGTGTGACCGCAAGTGGGGCTGCACTGGCGCTATGCCGGAGTTAACACGCTCCGCGGGTTTGTACGTGTGACCGCTCCACAAAATTTGCTCCGGTGTAAGATATATCGCAACAAAATACATCGGTGCAGCACCGGAGCAAATGTGTGCCGTGTGAACACCCCTTTTGATGGCTGCCCCTTAGTTTTGCTTTGAAGATATTCTTCCCCAAAAGTAATTCTCATGGGTTAATTCTTTCTTCTCATCGCTACTAGTTTGAATGCACACTCTAGTAACTGCATGCTACTCCACCTGACTCTCTGCTATTCCACAACTCCGCCCACATCTCCAGTTTGTAGAAATGGGATAATGACCCTCAAGAATGTGTGGATGGTTACAGCTGAGTGCTCCTGCGTCTCACTGACAGCACAAATGTTCACACGTTCAAGGGTTCCATCAACCATCCTGCAGTATGCAATGAAAGGACTGTAAAATGGCTTGTTTTTCCAATGGAAAGTCTGGATTTCATCTTGCACAACATAAGTTCTTAGCAAGAACACCCTGCAAGATGATTGTCGTCAACGGTGTCATTGTGTCCTTCATCTCCTTCAGGTACAGACTTTGCATTTGTCTCCATTGTTGTGGCTTTGTTCCTTGTTCGGTAAAGTAAAAACGGTGACCGTAATTGCCCACAAAATGCTAAAGAAACTGCCTCCTGTGGTGTCCGACCCAATTCTCCAACTTGGAGTGAAACTGCAAAACATTTTTAGAACGTATGTGGGTTGCGCCAGAGTATAAAGGCAAACTGCACATGGCATTGCCACAGTGGCATCTGCGCGGTCACTACCCGCGTGAGTGTAAGCCTTAAGTTTATTTTTTATACAACAAAAATGCATCTGACGTATCGTATTTGACAATGAAGCTAATGTTAGTGCATTCATGATAATCTTATCATTTTGCTATCAGTTTGGTAATTGCGCCGGGCAAATCCACTTTTGTACTGGCCAAGGTTCACCAGGCATTCCTCTTAGAAGTGACATACAGATAAACAGCTGCTGAATGTTCTGTCGCCGGTAGCACTTAGGCCAAGGTCGCTGCTCATACCGTCTCTTTTCCCTGATACACTAGTTGGGCATCCCATTGTCTGCTTGGAGACAGAGGGCATGTGTTTACGTTAAAAAAATAAAAAAATTTGAAAGAGCGAAGCTCCAGCTGGAGAGGGGAGGCCACTCTGAACACGCTGTCACTGGACACGTCCACATGAACGCGCATAGGTGAAAAAATTCCAGAGCAGTCAAGCTCCAGTCAGCCGAAGTGACCTCTCTGCGCCTATTTCCCAGATATGCTTGACGGTGTCCCGCTGGTTGCTCAAAAAAAGTGGCCGTGTGGTTAATCTGCAGGGATGGTACGGGGCTGGCTCTTCATTCTGTGATGTAGAAAAGTGAGGGCTGTCGTTTTCTTGGTTTGGGAGGACCTTGTGCTTAAAGGGCAGAGCAGGAATGCTCAAAGATGGATGGATGAAAACACTTTTGAGTAGTTTTTGGAGAGGAATTAGCATTTTAACAAAAAGGTTAAAAAAAGGTTGATTTAGCATGATATGGCTCCTTTTTAAAAGCAGTCTAATAATAGCTAAAAGCTAAACACCTTCCTTGTGTTAATTCACCAAAATACTAGAAGGATACTAATTAGAATGCTTTTGCTGACATAAAAAATGGATTTTGAACATCTGGAAACACTTAACAGGGGTGTCCATTTCATGGAGGAAAATCTATTCCCAAGTGGTTCTTACCAATAAAATAACGGCGTATATAACAATTTGAGCAGTCAATACTGTATCTTGTCTTTGTAGTGTATTCAATTAAATATAGATTGAACATGATTTGCAAATCGTATTTTGTTTTTATTTGTTTAACACAACCTCCCAATTTTATTGGAATTGGCTTTGTACAACTTGTAATGCTAATCTGAGAATTGCTTATTAACAAAAAACAAAAACTTAATCCTGTGCATGACGGGTCTATATTAGGATCATGTCTATAATATCATGGTATAAACTTCAGTTATACAAACGGAGTTATGGTGAAGTTTCACGCGGTGTCATTATTATTAATTTGTATTAATTTTTAAGAAAATTCCACAAAGATGGTGGACATGTCACATTGCTAACAGTGATTCCCAACGTCGTTGCTGTGGCACCCTATTGTCCGATTATTAGGAGTGCTGTGGGATATTAAAAGGGGCTATTGGGGATTTCTCATGATGGGGATTTGCTCTGCTGTTTTTTTTTTTTTTTTTGGGTCAAATCTTTCATTAAAGGGACTTGTGCAACATGGAGTAGGAAAAAGGTTCACATTTGAAGTTTCATCTAGGAAAGCAAAATATGCAACAAAATATGAAAATAAATGAATGTCAAACAACAATATCAGGAAGTTGTAGTAAGATGACAGGTTTCTGTCAGAATCCATATCAGGGTTTCCTCGAGAAAATTTGCCAAGACTGGTGGCAAAGAAGTTGACTGGCCACTTGGTTAACGATAAATCAAATCCCTCTCATTCAAAGTAAAGCACCAAAGATGATGATGATGATGATAATGCATCAGATGGACTCATAATGGCTTTAACATTGTCTATTAAGGTATGGTAACGTTAGGAGAAAAAAAATAGATAAGAAATTCCAAGGAGGGGCAGCTAAAATAAATATACAAGTAGGGATGTGCAAAAAAAAAAAAAAAAAAAAAAAGATTCACTCAACTATATGCCAAGATTCAATAAATCGATGTCAAAGTTAAGAATCGATTGTCAGGATTTTTCAGAAAGCAAAGGTGAAGCTACCACTTTCCTGCAGCAGATGGCAGCGCGGAGGCAATATGCTGTGGCGAGTAAGTGGATTTAAGCATTCAGGAGAGTCTCAGTATGTCATCCGAATGAGCCAGTGCCTGAGCCACGCAGCCGACTCTTTCTGAAATAAATGTCAGAAAGAGTGACTGACTTTCATCTGGCTGCACTGATTGAAGTACGTGTCTCAATGTATGTATTGTTTGCGGTTTATATTGTTTAGAATGGTTTTAAAATGTTCCAAGAAAACATTATTTGAGAAAATTACCAGTAACGTGATATTAAATCGCAAATCGTAGTATAATCAATAATAATGATATAATTCGAATCGTCACACAAGTATTGTGATTTGAATTGAAACTGGGGGTAAGTAAGTGAATCCTCCCACCCCTACAAAATAGCCAGTCAATCGTAAAAAGTAACACTGCCTGCTTCCGCCACAGCAAAGAGCAGATTATTTAAACCTCAAAATACACTAGACATGGATTCAAGCAAAAGGGCTGGAATTGATCAATGTCTCTGTAGTTTATGCATGTCTGAACATTTCAGATGCTAACCGACAACCTGTTGAGACAGCCCCGAAGTACTTTGTCCAGTTTTATGAATAAATGTTCTTCACTGTTGACAGTAATTCGGCGCTTAGCAGGGTATTGCTGATCAAACCTCACATCTGGTTTATCTTTGGGCTGTTTTCTCTCTCTCTCTCTCTCTCTCTCTCTCTCTCTCTCTCTCTCTCTCTCTCGAACATTGCACGCCACTTCTCAACTGCCAGGGGATCTTTGGGGACTATAAAGATCCTATGTCCATCAAACATTATCTGGTTTGATTTAGCTGCTTTCCGTCATTTGTTTCAGCTTGTGGAAGTAGTGCATCTTAAAAATAAGAGGACAACAGGGTTCATAGTCATTTGCATGCAGATGGAGTCTTCTATGGCATCTGTCAATAAGATAAGAAAACCTTTATTAGTCTTGCAATGGACACATTCCCAATTCACAGCAGCAAAGTTATGAAAGGAAGTAGAAGAACAAAATATAGGAGCTGCTGGAAAGGCAGCCACTCTCGCAGCGCCATCTTGAAGTCAAAATAACAAAATAACACAACACAAAAGACGCAGTGCAATCTTAATCACTTCTCCTGCATACACTTTGTTGTTTGAAGCAGTTATAGATGAAAGAGGAGAGGATCAAAGTGTCCTTCCACCAGTGGATCAGAGACGTCATGCTGAAAATGTGCACACGTCTGCTACAAGCTAAGTTTTGAAAGCAAACACGAAGCTGTAGTGTCCGTTGCCGAAAAGAGATTGGCTCACATCTCCTGCCAGCGCTCTGCACTGACACTCCTTTCTTCTCATTGTCGGCTCCTCAAGCCTTGCATCCATCCAGCCGCAGAACGTCAACAGCACCGATCTCTCCGCTGAACTAAGCGGGGCTGTGTAAAATGCTGCCCATTACAGGGGGCAAAAAAACACAAGCGCCCCAGAGCTGTCCAGCAATGACAGTCAAATGGCACAGACATTCCTCCCAATCAAAAACAGTGCTGGTATATCCATGCTGCCGAGAAGGCGCAACCACCAAGCACCAAGTCTCCTCCTTGATGAATGTCGTGGCCAAAAAATGTTGAAAAACAATCCACATCTGGTCCACACGACGCAACAACAACACACAAAGTGACAAAACAAACACAAAAACAACAAAAAGAAGCAAGGCTCATGAGAGCACTTGCCGACGGCTGCCTACTCGGGCGCCATCTTGGACTTCCAAAGTGTCCGCCCTTCCAAAAATGAGAGCCAGCTTTAAAAGTTGTGCCACAAATTGCTTCGCTTTCCTTCCATTCTTGGCGCACTCTTCTACTGCGCCCTTTGAGATCGATGCACTTGTCAGAGTCTATCCACCGCTTTTGTCAAGCGCCCGGCTTCTTGTTCCAACTTTATGATGTCGACTGAATCAGAGGCGCGGCGTTGAAAGTCTGTTAGGTTGTTAGTATGAGCAGTAGCAATCACATTGACAGCAGAAATGGCATCGTTTCCCATTTAAAAATTGCCAATTCTCCCCTAATTAATGGCCGGGAATTGGCCAATCCTCATGTCGATTTATTCCTGCAAACTCAGATTTAATTTAACATAATTCAGTGTGGAGAAAGGCAATAGCCCCCCAAACTGTCGGTTCACCAGGGGCATATTTCTGTCAGTTTATGAAATGGGTGTCCGTCTGTAGGTATTTGACTCGGTTAGGGACGATTACTGGTATGGACAATAACCCACTTCCGTCCTTGCTTAGTCTGTCCTTTTTTTCCCCCCCAGAAAAAAATCTTCCCGTCCTCCGTTCTCCGCCCCAAAGTGGGTGTCCGTACCATGGACGGAATGCCCATCTGACTATTTCTGCGGTTGTTCTGGATGTTGAGCTTTCATACTCCCATTGCACTGTATTATATTAAATCTTGTTCAACAAATATGGATTAAGACTATAATTGTTTAGGTGCGACTTGCATTTAAAATGTGGACTCATTTTTAATTAGATGTCACGTCGCAAATGAGATAAATCTGTTCTTCTTCCCCCCGTTCAGGTGTAGCTGCTAGTGTCCTGAGGAGATGCCTCTAAGGTTTCGTTCGATTGTGCCCTACACACTACCTGGAGTCCTTGCACTGATCGGCTGGTGGTGGTACACTTCCCGTAAGAAAGAGCGCCTCATCAGCCATGACGACCCAGATGGAGGTCCAACTAATGGAAACCTGAGATTGTCTCGAGCAGTGGGTCGCAATGGCATGGTTGAGAAGGACACTGTATCTACTGCAAATAACACAGAACACCACCTGACCTGCAGACATCCAAAGGACACTAGAAAAGACGACGAGGAGGAGCAGGAGGAATATATCTCCCCAAACCATGTTGCTGATACAGACACAGCATCTATAATGGGACAGACTCGTCGAGAGGAAGCTGTTGAGACATGTGGGATGAAACTGGGACTCGATAAACCCACAGTCTCAACTCTGTCCTCAGATGACCAGGACAAGAGTCTCAATGTGTCACTAAAAGATCATAGAGACCTGAAAAAAAGCTCAGTACCCTCCTGTGTTTCGGAGGCAGACGTCGATCTAAATAGAGAACCAAGGTCTGCTTCATATGTTAAAGAGATTGTCTTGCCCGGCCAGTCCACCAGAATTACCCACTCATCCACTATGTCGGTGTGCCTTGCTGATGCAGAGCGGCCTGAGCCAGAAGGGGAAGTTGCAAAGAACCACAGCACTATGACAACACAGGATGATGGTTGTGCAGTCATACCTGTTAAAGTGCAGAGTGTAGTGTCATCACAGTTTGAGTCTCGCGATATACCCATTTCACTGCAAGATTTTAATCAACACATTCTAACCAGCACACCCAACTCTCTGGTCCTGACTTCCAAAGCCCAGTCTGCATCATTAGCATCACAGGAACTCCAGGTTCACAGCGGTCATGAGGAGGAGCAAGATCTGGAAATACTGGCAGCTGGACTCATAACTGAGGTCATCTCAGCAGCCACCCAGCAGGTTTTTGGTGGCCCCAGCTGCCCACTCTCTGACAGAGGGCAACAGTGTCACCATCCTGAATTGTCAAACCACCAAAAAACAGGCTGTGATGAAACCCAAAACATAGACCAAGGGATGCCCAACGGGTCTTTTCCCGCCTCCGTATGGGAGACTCTCAAGGTTAATGAATCAGCGCAGATAAACACTAAACAAAAGGACCCCATGCCAAAACTGTCTCACCAAGTAGCAGACGGTACACCTTTACTAAACAAAAAACTGAAAGCCGATGAATCAGTGACACAGACGGAGGACTCTGCTTGCAGCACCTGCCACTCTGAGGATGGCATCAGCAATGAGAATCACCAACATAGTCTGACTGACAGCCAAATTAATGTCTCTCAGATTTCAGACTTGTCAGAAAAAGAAGCAACACAGCCCCAATCACTACTTGAGACACCCATGGAGGAAATTATTTTTTCTTTGACGGAAGAAAACTCAGTAGATGCTATTTGTGGTGTTAAGCTGCTCGATGGCATGGACCTAAGGAGCGGACCTCAGGGGTGTGAAGTGGAGACCGATCAGTCTGGAGGTGAGTTACGCATTTGCATCACTTTCAATTGAAGTGAAATATGCGGTGGAACCTCTAAAGCAGTGGTTTTTAACCTTGTTAGAGGTACCAAACCCAACCAGTTCATATGCACATTCACCGAACCCTTCTTTAGTGAAAAATAAAAATAGGATTTTTTTTTTTAAAACAAATTCAAGACATTAAAAAAAACCCACATTTATTAAAAACTGAAAAAAATAAACGTCGAGGGGAGCCAGATGAGGTGGCTTGGGCATCTGTTTAGAATGCCTCCGGTACACCTCCCTGGTGAAGTGTTCCGGGCATGCCCCACTGGTAGGAGACCCCGGGGATGACCCAGGACACGCCGGAGAGCCTGTTTCCCAGCTGGCTTGGGAATGCCTTGGGATCCCCGGGGAAGAGCTGGAAGAAGTGGCTGGGGAGAGGGAAGTCTGGGATTCCATGCCAAAGTTGTTGGACCCGTGACCCAACCCCGGATAAGTGGTTCAAAAAAAACAAAAAAAAACATTCTGTGGACCGGTACCTGGCCATAGCCCATTCGGTTACAGAGCCACACAGAGACAGACCCGACGAGATGGAAATGTGTGCGACTCTAGTCAATCGAAGTACCCCTTCTAACATTGGTTTGCAAGTTGAAATAAACATTCGCCAAAAAATGAAAGAAGAAGCAGTCAAAGAAAGTATTGGTAACAAATTGACCAAACACACAGCTAAACCCACAGCTAAACCCATGACTTCCGAAGATTAAGTCATTTTGACAAGAAAAATTTCTACCCTAGCATTATCTCCAGAGTGATACAGTGGAGATGCTGTTGTGCGTGGTATGTCGTCAATAACTATGCCATACGAGAAACTCGTTGAATCATTTGAACAAGTCGCACCCACGTAATCAAGTGGAAAATGTGAAAATGCAAGCAGAGTTTGCCCTGCCTGCTCACCTCAACATTAGCAGTTTAGTCGCGAATAATTAGCCAGCAGCCGCTGGATGAAAGTAGCAATCAGTAGTGTCATCTTTTGTCAGATTTGCAAGTAATAATGATGCTTACGCCATATGTAGGATAATAACTTAAATGTTTACATTATAAGGCATATTTATTCCTCCACACAGAGCCATTTTAATGCCCTAAGCATAAATGCTTTGTGGTGCCCCACACACCCCCTGAACCACTTCTGATGAGTGTAATTCTCTGTTTGTAATTGTCTAGGCTCTGATGTGAACAGTATGGACTCTGTGGACAGTGGCTGCACCATGGGCGGTAGAGAAAGTCACAGTAACCCTGCTTCCTCTTCAAGCTCTGAGCTTGTCATCTGGGAGATTGAAGTGCCAAAGGTGAGGCATTCCAAGTCTTAACAGTCTGGATTACTCTCGTGTCAATTTTAACACATTTTAGTGCATAATCAGTTCAAGAGCTTGCCAGCTTGTCACAAATATTCCTTTAAAAATAAGGGCACACTCACAGAAAATAATGTGTGCTGTGCTTGGAACCGCTGACACCTTAAGTTTTTTTTTTTTTTTTTTTTTTACAGTGGTACTCAGTGCGAACACAGTTCATTTCACTGACACTGTCTGTTCGTAAATCCGTGTCACTTTTTCCACTGAAATAAATGGAAATGCAATTAATCCGTTCCAGCACAGCAAATATTGCAGTTGATGGGTTTGGCTTAGATGAGGATGAAGGGTATTCACAGTAATTCAGTTGGAATGTTATAAAAAAAAAATGCAGTTCAGTAGCTCTTAATTTTACAGCTTTCCAAAGGTAAACTGAAAGGATCTTCAAAATGTAATAAATGCTGAATTAAAAATACATCAGTCTTTCCTTGCAGTTACGGTATATAGATTCTCATGTTTTTATTTAGTAGCAGTTGGCAACTTGACATGCGCATGTACAGAATTTTTCCATGTTGTCACTTGTGATAACAGTTTAACTGCAAGCGTTTGTGTCAAGGGTTTTTTTTTGTTTGAGAGGCAAATTTTAATTTCACGTATGATTTTTGCATGTGATAATGGCTCTCTCTCTCTCTCCCTCTCTCTCTCTTTATAAATAATTGAAGTCGACTTACAGCATTCGTTCAAATGTGAATGTCTTTCTGTTTCAGCTTCTTGTTGGGCGATTAATTGGGAAGCAAGGAAGATATGTGAGTTTTCTGAAGCAGACCTCTGGTGCGAAGATTTACATCTCAACTCTGCCTTACACACAGGAGTTCCAAATCTGTCACATAGAGGGTGAGTTCTGGGGACTCAGATTTTCTGAAGAATCTTGTTTTAAAAAGGTAGCTCACTTTCGAGAAAATCTGGCACGCAAGTGCTTTAAAAAAAGATACAAATTGATGTTGAACCTCATGTTTGACGTCTTCCCAGGTATGCAACAACAAGTTGACAAAGCCCTGTCTCTAATTGGGAAGAAGTTTAAAGACATGGATTTGACCAACCTTTATGCACCTCCACCACCCCCCCTCACATTGCCATCACTCCCCATGACGTCATGGGTAAGGTTGACTCTTTGCCTTCTAGAGACAGTACCTTTTATTGGATTATCTCCTGCATAGTCTCGGTGGATAGAATGTCATGGTGAGATGAAGAATTGTATGTCCATTTTAAAAGGAAATTGAACATTTGAATATTACCCTCCAGAGTCAAACAGTTATCATCATAAAATCTACAGTGTACCTATGGTTGTCAGAAGTAAAAATGTACAATGGTACCTCTACTTACGAAATTAATTGGTTCTGGAAGAAATTTCTTAACTACAAAATTTTGTAAGGAGAGACGTGCTTTCCATCTAAACGCCCTAATTCGTTCCAATCCCCCCAAAATTCAGACATAAGTGTTTTGTAAAGCATAAAATATGTAAGAAATAGAAGTTACAATTAGATTATTGCACAATAAATGAGAGTTGTGCATAATGTAAAAAAAACAAAGGATAGAGTAAATAAAAATCCCGATCATTTAACTTTTAACTGCGTCCTAGTAAAAAAATGGTGTGAAAAGAGAAGTGCTTCAGTGGATGGATGGGTGGTTGGAAGAATACCCTGAAGTTCTGCTGTTTGACAGTGTAAGGCGGGGGGATCCTGGTGATTAAAATAAGCAGAGATGAAAGTCCTCCGGAATTAACGATACCTTTAATGACACGAAGAAAATCAAAAAGTAATCCACCAGAATAGAAAATCAAGATAGGAAATCACAAAATAAATTCTATGGCGGGCGGAGGGGGGGGTGGGGGTTGTGAACACACAACGAAGGAATAAATAAGCAATTTTGAGACAGTCCAGTCTCCATCACATACGTGCAATACAGGGGAGTGTTAGGAACACGTTCAAGTGGTTATGGCTTGAGGAAAAGGACTTGAACGGAGATTTTTTTTTTGTCCGGCTACATTAGAAAGATCGACAAACCTGGTAAATCAGTTAAAATCCAATATATGTATGTATGTGTATATGTGTGTGTGCGTGCGTGCGTGTGTATTT